CCACAACGTGCAACATCCTTAAGGAGAGTTCTCATACCCCCAAGTTCTGCAACGGTTTCAGGCCAATCAGATGAGGCAACAGGAAAGCTCGTCAAGCGGAGGCGCGTTTTCGACCTCTACGATGAGGATTCCTTGATCGCGAGGATTACTTCGGAGGAATTCTTTCAGGAGTAGGACATGGTGGTCCACTTATAGTTTTAACTGTTTTTGTTGTTTTTTAGAACCTTAACTTGTTAATGGCGTTTTTCTAGTTATAAATTTGTTGTTCGTGAATGCGGGACGCATTCTTTCCCCGGGGAGGGGATGATGTAGAGTTTGCAGAATCCAGTATAGGTGGCGCTGTTTACTTGTAGTGGAGGTTGGGGTCAGCGCAAGTCAGCGTGAAATTGGCGCGAAAAGTGCGTGCGCGCGCGCGCGGGTTGTTGCTGTACAGATCTTGGTTGTGAAGGTCGGTTCGGAAAGGCCAGCTCCGTGCGTACACACCCCAGGCTCCACGTTGCGATAACCAGTATAGTGCAGATAAAGGTAAATCACAAGTAATACTGATATCGTGTGTTCATTGTTTGGATGTTTGGAGGAAAGAATTAGAAGATAAGAAACCGGAATATTGGTGTCATTTGTGTCTTATTCTGTCTGTCCACTGAATAAAATTGAACCCCCGAAAACGCTACAATATATAGACAAGCTGATTTACCCGATCATAGATCGGGTAGGGCGTGAAAATGTGGGGAGTTAAATGTAAATGGGGATTTAGTTGACATGCAGTTATAGAAAAGCAATTTCTGTGGCGCTATCTGAGGCAATTTCTGACCACGATAGTAAAACCACTGTATTGTTTAAACAACTTAAAGATCATCTTTTAAACATCATTTTCGAGTTTGGAGTCATTGAATCAGCTATTCTGAGCAAAAGAATTTTATAGTAGGCTACAATTTTTATTCGGGGAAGAAAAAGTGTGTGTGTGTGTGTGTGTGGGGGGGGGGGGGGGACAAAACGATATTCCCCGCTTTAAAATGTTGGGGTGGGGGTCCCTCGTCCGCCACCAATTGACCCCATGATAATTATGTACCATGGCATGTTTGTAAATTTTCTCGTTGGTTTGTTAAATTGGCATTCTGTGAGGCAGTCGCATTATTTTGTGGGAAAACTGAGTTGAAAGACTTATTGTATAGTACACAGGCGAAGGCTGATTGTACAGTTTTGACTGTTTATCATAATGCAATAAAACGTGAAGGTGGCATTTGCAATGAAAATAGTGAGTGTGTTCATAACATTACAAAGTCTGAATCATGGAGGAAGGTCATTATGAAGGTACAGTATTGGAGTCTTCAACAAACGTAAACTTGAACTTCTTACAATTTGCGAGACCTGCGAGGAAAAAGTCGATTTAACTGTTTTATTCAAGTTGGTTCAACCCTAATGAATAAAGCAAGGCAATTGAATCAGCTACATGTATTCTGAGCGATAGAGTCATTACAGTAGGCTACAATTTTTATTTGGGGAAGAATGGGTGTGTGTGTGTGGGGGGGGGGGGGGGGGGGGGGAGGCTGGAACGTACAATGTCCCCTGCTTTAAAATGGGGGGGGGGGGGGCCTGTCCCCCGTCGACTTACGCGCATGATAATTGTGTACCATGGCAACTGTCTGTAAATTTTCCCGTTGGTCTGTTAAATTGGCTTAATATTGTGAGGCAGTCGCATTTGGAAAACGTATTGAAAAGGAGTACACAGTCGAAGGCTGATTGACAGTTTTGACAATAAATCATAATGCAATAAAACGTGAAGGTGTCATTTGAAATGAAAATGTTGAGTGTTTCCATACAATTACAAACGGTCTGAATCATGGAGGATCAGCCTTGGTGGTGGAAGAATGGAGCTGTAAACACATTATGGAAGCAACGGCACTCTATCACGCGACGTCACATGCTTCAAACAGCGAGCATCGTAGACTCAACCTCGTGTCCAGGGTGTGGAGCAGGCTGCAGTGCGCGTTGCCATCGACGGTTTTACGCATAGCCGGGAAGTACCACGCAGTGTAGACTTTCGATTGGTCAGACCGCGCAAGGCCTACTAATGTGTAGTCGTGAGTATTCGTTGCACTCGGCGCAGGGGCGGCAGGCAAAGCAGAGGAAACAATAGGGACACTTGGTGGCCACGCACCATGGAGAAAAAAATATTTTGCCAAGGTCACCCCATACTACCGTTTGGTGAACGCTTTTGCAGCACGGCCGAGTAGAACACGTAAACGAAACCCCTACGTTGACCTCGCTGACCTCGCACAGTCTAGACACGCAGAAAAAGCCAGCACAGGGGGCGGCCAGGCAGTCAACGTGAAAGCGCACACGACGGCAAAACGCAGTCACGAAAAATCGACGAAACGGATCGCCGGTCCGTACGGAAAAATCAGGACGACCCGAAGTGTCCGACCCGGCGGAAGACACCCTCTGCATTTTCCCACGGACGTGGAGCGATTTTGGCTCCGCGGGAGCCCGCGGTCTCGGATCCTTTCATGAGCAAACATCGTCTGGGAGGCCGAGTTAAACTCTCTCTTATATATATAGATAATTACATCTCAGCTCAATGGAGGGCGCACTATATACAATGTTAAGTTTGTGCGTACATGATTATCTGTGTACAGACAGAGGTCTATGGCCAGTGAGCGGCCTGCAGCCAAGGGCGAGTCCGGGGGGGGGGGGGGGGGCATGGCCCGAAACCAATTTTTTTTTAAAGTGACATCGCAATAAAGGCAGGCAATGAGTACACCACCATCTTTTCCTCAAAAAAACATTGGTTAAAGTGGTCAGAAATTGCCTCAGATCGCACCACAAAGCATCTAGAATCCAAAACTTTTTCAGGGCCCTTTAGCGGGCCCCGAACCCCACGCCGTAATTTTTTTGACCCACTTTTTCGGGGGACCAACATTTTTTGGGGCCACTTAAAAAATTGTGTTCAGGATCCGCCCTTGCCGGCAGCTCGTTAATCTACGTGTACATGTCAGGAACTCTGTCGGGGTCAGAGCCCAGATCATCAATGACCAAAACTTTTGGGTGCGCGTCTTAGCCAATGAGAGCATTGGATTCTGGTAGTCATGAATAATGCATACGTGTACAAAGGCATGGGGAAAGTTCTCTATGGGAGATGTGTTCACCGGCTGACTTGACATTCTAGTGCAAGAAAGTCCGAGAGCAGTGGTTAGCGGGCGAAGTAGGATCATTAATGGTGCGTTACGGGGAACTGATCCTCAAGGAAAAGGGAAAGGAAATAACTTTCTCGGTACATAGGCTTGTGTACAAAACTTAGTCTCTAGACTAGGTAAGAATCTACACTCTAATTTTATGGAGTAAAACTATGAGATGAAGGACGTAACCTGACCTCTAGCTACCGTAGGTCTCGGCCAGTGGGTTAGCGGGACACACTCGCTGGAGTGTTCGGGGTCACTGAGGGGTGAATACACGGGTAGGTTTTAGCGAGCCACATTCGCTAAATGCTGGGGTCAACGTGACTCCGGGGAAAGGTGGAGCTTGGACCTGGATTCTGTTTCACAAGTCTCTTCATTTATTTCACTATCCTCCGATGATCCCGGTTTAGAGTTTTTACTAGAGTGATAGTTGTTTTAAATTACCTGCATTTTAATATAAACATATGAGTTATTTGCTCTCTAAATCGCCATATCACTTCTCTGTATTGAAAATAATAAAATGAATGCAATTTTGTTAAAAACATTACAGCCTTTTGTACGATGTACTTGTATTCATATTACACCCCCGCGCTTTCCAGATATTCCAAACCACTCCCACGTTGACAAACAAAATAGCCACACCTACATAGTGCATATAAATATGTGGACTTTCCGCAAGGCAATATGTAACCTTAACAATAATACATGATGAATTCTTTGGGAGGGGAGGAGTCTTTGCACATAAGTAGGAGTAGGAAGGGGGGTGGGGGGGGGGGGGGGGCTGTGAGACAGGTACGGCTATTGGTGTAAATTATGAAAGGTTCACTTGCAAATTGATATCTATTTACAAGTTTAATGTAGGAAAATACATGTAACAATCAAAATCTGAATTTGGTGGCAAGGGAAAGGGCGGGGCCTAGCTGGGAGGGGAGGACTACAGACATCATTATTTTAACTAATGGATGCACTTCAATCAGAGGACAATGGATATGGCCATTATTTCATTGCGGCTTGTGAATACTGATTTAGTTCGGAGTGGATGTTCATTAGAAGTTAAATAACGTAGGAAAATTTGGAAAATATAAGTGTATACATTCATAAAACCGAACTACCGGTTTGATGACGTCACAGTATTTGGAAGCAAAATGTGAACATTGTAATGGTATCGTTATTTGGGCTACGATATACGACATGGATCAAATGATAGAAATAAATTTAAAATATGATCGTTTGCAATATCTCATAGAAGTAACTTCTGGTCTAATGACGTCATGAATTTGAAACCTTGCCAAGTTATCTGTGGTTAATCAAAGAATATCAAGGGGCGATTTGGTAAAATTTGAACCGATGGTTTGAAAATTAAAGAAAGCAAACACTATTTTATGTGCCGCTAGGTTGCGCCCTTTCAGATGATGACGTCATAACACCGTTTTTATGCCTGGCATTCCTCACTAAACACTTTCATAATATATGTCTGTAGTAAAATGCTTCCGCTTTTGAGTTATTTTCAGTTTTTATTGCACCTCCGGTAACACCGGAAGTAAAGGTCAAGCGGTTTTGTGTCCGGAAACACGAAATGTTTCTCACGGCATAGTCTTCAACCTTACAAAAAACGAACACGATATTCTATGTAGTTCAAAAGGTATAACGCAAAACTATTTTGTCAAAATTTGCCCTTAAATCGCTTGTAATTTTGTATCTGATGACGTAACAAAATGTATAACATGTTCGTAACATGGTACAAGTTCACACAAGGTTTTATGATCATATGAAGACGTTAGGCTAACGTCTTCATTTTGAATTCACCTAACTTTAACCTTCCGGTAGACCCGGAAGTAAAGGTCAAGCGAGTTTACGTACGTGCAATTGTGACAGCACAATAATCGGCCATGATACACTTTGTCGTGCCATACTCATATCGAGAATTGCATGCGTGCATTCGATGTGTAAATGAATCACAACTTTTAAAAGGTGGTTGTGAGGATGAGAAGGCCATGTATTGGAATGGGTAATGCCCATGCGTTGACGTATGTGTTGAGTAATGAGATTGAGAAATATACTCCGCGCATATTCGGATTTTTGAAAAAAAGGCCATTTTAGCTTCCTTAATTAAAGTAGCGCTACGCTAAAGCTCAAGAACGCATTGTGAATCTTAGCATGCGTCAGAACTGCAATTTTACTGGAACTTCCTGTAACATGTCCATGCTCAAGACGGTTCAAAAACAGTGGATTTATTTGTGAAATACAGGCCTACTGTGAAATCTGGCATATGCAAAAACATCCCTTCTCAAAGACAGTGTATGGTGCTTCTTTCTTTATTTACAATGAGGATGTAACCGTCCAATTTTGCCGTTATTTCAAATAAGCTGAATTTGAATTCACAGATTACAACGGTCTACATCAAAAAGATGTTTCAAATTGAAACAAACTATTGATAACATATCACTTTTCCCATCAACCACGTATATGTGCTAATTTTACAACAAAATGTAAATTAACCAGATTCTGTCATAAAAGAAAAGAAAAAATTGCATGAAAACTGTAATTCAACAATCAATATCAAAACTGCTTTAAAACCAGTTACAGCGTGGATATAAACATTTAAAAAAAAAAAAGTGTACTGTATTACTTGTGCTTTTCAATATTCTTGAACTGAGCATTGGTTAATTCTGTTAATAAAAAGTAACAATGTATAAATGAGCACTGATACTGTTTATATCGTTCTTCCAATAAAGTAATTTGAAAATTAATCTTGGAATTTCAAATTTAACGCAATAACATGCACTTTACACAGACATGTTACTGTTTTAAGAATTAAAACTAACGTCCACAATCATCAGATTGCAATGAAAGAGTGGATGATCCATTATATAACGTGTTTTTTTCATGTCACGCGTCAGCAATCTTGTAGTTTAATTAGGGGTACTTATAGCAGTCTGCTTGGACTTGCATCTCGCCTGGACCCATTCCATCAACAGCGCCATCAACGATAGAGCTGTAATGCATCCCAGGATGAAAAAGGCCCAGTCAAAACTGCCAGTCTGGTCGTACATCCAACCTGCCAAAAATAAATAGTTCCAACCAGTCAAAACCAGAAACGCATTGATGGTCACAATAAACGCAGCTACCCTTAACGTATGTTCGAGAGAACCCTTAAACAGGTGACCATCAAAATGTGAATGAAACCACTGTATCGGTGGTTATGTGGGGGTGTAGTAAATGTTAACATGTCATGTATTGGTCGACGAACCTAAGACATCGCATAAGACATTGCATTGAGACTATTGTCATGCAATACACTGATCTTGTCAAAGCCATAAGATGAAACGTGATATGATATGCCTTACCTGGAAAGAATCCTAGGCTGAAACTTAAAATGGCCGTCGCCAGCTCCATCCAAGCGAAAGCACATGCCAAGAGATCAGGTCCAAGCAGCTCCCTGGTGTACAGATCATTCAGTGAAGCCTCTGCTCCAAAACCGCCACAATAGATAACTGAAGTGGTCATCATCAACCAGTAAGAGTTTACCCAGGGAGTTATCAGGATAGCTAAGGCACTCAGTGTGATCACCAATGCGATCACCGGTCTCAATTTTAACAAACCTTTGTCGACGAAACAACCGAGCAAAATCCTGGAAATGACGTTGCCGACCCCTCCAGCTGTGGTGAATGTCACGGCGTCGTAAGGAGAGAAGCCTTTGGCCTCGGCTTGGGAGACGTAATAGATCATCCATTGATCACTCGCAAAGCGGCTGCATATGAAAGGGACTGCTGTGATCCAAAATGAGAACTTGAAACAAACTGAGAATCCGAAATGTTTCATCTGCGCACTGAAGGCGTCTTTGAAGGCGCTTAGTCGTGATGACTTCTTCAAGTTGCCTGTCTCCTCGGCACTTGATGAGCCGACTTGTGGTTCCTCGTTGGCGCCGGTGCTCACCGGCTGATAGCTGTCATTTGTTTCATCAGTCGACGCTGAACGCAAGAGGGCGCCACACACCCCAAGATACGTGGTCAACCCACCAAGAATTAGCAAAGCCCCTCTCCAGCCGTACGTATCTAGCAACAGTTGGGTAAAAGGCCCAACGGTGATCATGCCGACTGCACCTCCTGCTGTCCCTATGCCTACCACACTGCCATAGTTTGTCGTAAAACAGCGCCCGAGTAGCGCCCTTGTCAGAATATTGACGACACTTAAAGCAGGTCCTGTGGATAAGATGTAAGATAATCGATGAGTGATCTACTCCACGTTGGTTGACAAAGTATTAAAGGGAGGGTCAGTGTGTTTTGGGTGTGACACCATAAAATAAATTTGCAGTTCAATTATTTTGTTAGCACAACGAAGGTATGAATGTTCTAATGAGCTGGGAAAAGAGTTTTAAATTCAGCTTTTTAATTACTAAATAGATTTGACTCAATTCGAACTTAAGTCGACCCAGTGCTGAAACACGCAGAATATAAAAAGTCATCATTGCCTCTTAAATGCTAAAAACTATTCATTCGTAAATCAATTTATTTATTTAATCATGGGATACTGAATTTAAACTGAAAACAACCCTTGTAATATAATAATGAATGGCACGATCTCTTGAATTGAATAAAACACCTACCAGCTGCCAGTGCTAGTATTGATGTCAACATGACAATACTAGTGGAAAAGGAAGCGATGATCATAGACACACCAAAGATGAAACCGCCGACCGTCACGACCGTGCGAGTACCAAACATGACTTCGAGTGGCCTAGCAAAGATACCTATATAATCAAGTACACGAAAATGGTTGGTAAAGTGTACATCTATATACATGAACGTCTTAAAGATGGAGTAGATCATCCAAAAAGTAACTGCAATGACCACATTATTATTAACAAGCTTGCTAATGGCACTAAAGTCCTTGGGAAATAATTCCTTCTGTCATTTTGAAGAAAAAAATAAAAGAAGGTCATTTCCAAAGATGAGTCTAGTGACACATTTTTTGGAAATTTCCGTTAGTAGCTGGATTGTAATTGGTCGAATCCGTGAATGGGTGCGCGCAAGCGTTGAAACGACAAACGCACGCATGATGCGGTTGCTATTATTCGTCGGTTCAGAGCGTGACATCGCGTAGGTGCCATCGGCTGAACGAGAACGTTTTCCTGATGCTGATTTAATCGGGCACAATTCAAAATATGACTCGGAAATTTTGAATTAAAATCCAGACCCTAGCATATTTATTTTTCTGGATATACAACATTCACAGAGCTAAAACTTCATCAGGTTAGTTGCTAAGCACCTAGCTGTCTTTAGATTTTGAGTGTTTCTGGATTCAAAACAACCGCCATGCCACGCCAACAGTTATTCCCGTCACACTTTTATTTGAATTACAACAGTCATGTGATCGTCTCCTTTTTGGGGGCAGTTGATGTGCCCACAATGTGCCTTAAAATCATGGTCAAGATAATACAGGCACACATACCGAGGGCTGTTTTTTACGATGTCTTTTTCACACAAAAAAATGTCTGGAACGGATAGTCTTTGTGTCATTGCACATGAAATGAAACTACATTTGCCATTCAAGTTCACCACTGGGGCACCATACATGAAACTTCATTGTCTTGCTCTAACACTATCATTAAGCATTACATAAACAGATGCGATAATTACAAACTTTACCGGTAACACATATGACTGCAGTGATAATCGATAGCATCCAGCCGGCCAGCCAAGTTTGGGTTGCAAATTGCTCTTGTAGTGTTGGTAACATCACTCCCAGTGCCTTGAGGAGCCACACCCACAACAAATAGCTGACAAGCAGACAGAGAACTGCGCACCAACCCTGGTGGGAACGACCAGCTTGAATCCTGCCCATGATGAAGCCCTGTCTGGGTGGTAGTTCGTGAACTATGAACGAATCTTTGTAGCCTTGGTATAGGTACTAGTCTAGTGCCCCGATCCCTGGCCCAAATTGTTGCGGTCACTGCGTATACACGAAAAATCGGGCTTTGTTTAGCGAAGGTCATTTTACGCGGTATAGCCTATACCAGGTCAGGGCCGCCGATTCAGACATTTTTGCCGAAACAAAAACGTGACCAGACATTTCTGGTTCATATAGTGTATTGATTTAGGGTTTATCTTATATACACTATAGCAGAACAAACAAAACTCGTGCTCTACTATCTGTACTTTGCTAGTAAATGCACCGCACATGGGACGAAGCAGACTTAATTAGTACACACAAATGCAGTTCAAAATGATGAATTATTGTGCAGTTAATTGCAGCAATCGTGCTGATCGGGAGAATCATCTGTCGTACTTCAGGATCCCAATGGTGACACGAAAGGACAGTACAACTTGAAAGTACAACTTGCTAGGAATCAAAGGCGAGGACTCCAGTGGCTTGCTAACGTTAATCGAGGGGACATCGTAATGAAAAAGATCCAGTGATACGAACATTTCATTCTGATATGCTAGTGATCGTCGCCTTTTCTTTCTTTATATGAGTAGGGGGAGAAGGGCGGATACCAGACTTTGCCATAGGTCTGGGGGTAGTACAGGGCCAATGGGGAGAGGGGCAGGTACCAGACTTTATCCCTCCCCTTTCCCCCACCCTCTGGCCACGCCCCCACCCCACCCGCCCCTCCCGATATCTCAGCCCCAAGCCAAAACCGGGGCTCAATATCTCTCGTCTTGAAGATCTCTCTCTCCAGCCGGTGAGTCTGATTGCTTATAAATCCAAAAAGTCTAACCTCTTAAAAAAATTTAAAAAAATTATATTGATATTTATAAATGATGAATATGATCAAGCCAATCGTTAAGGGATTTTCTAGATGGAATAAAGCGACGCTGCGCGATTACGTCCAGCGATATAATGTACCGTATAATCAAAATGTTGCTCTTACGCGTAAAGTATACATTAACGGGATAAAAAACCACGAAGCTCAATTTAAAAACTTGAGGAAAAAGACGCTACATGAGCTCAAACAGATTGTAGATGATTACGATCTAGAATATAACCCGTCGGGTTATAAAGGTCGATTTTTGAAAAAAGATTTACTCTCAGCGATTCAAAACTCTAGGCAACCCGAGTATTTTCAAGAGGCTGAGTTTAGAGCGACGAGGAGATTCAGAAAGAACTTTAGAAACTGGGAACTGATTCCTAGACTTTTTAATGACGATTTAGTCAGATTTTTTGATACGCACAAAGATCAAATTGTAAATAAAATCAAGTCAGAATTGAGAGAGCTGAGAGGTTTAAAAATGGAGCTCACAATCAAAATAAAATACGAAAAAACCAAACCGGATGGTACAATCGAAACGATCGAAGCTACACATTTTACCGATCAGAGAGTCGTTTTAAATCAAAGTCAAATAAAACAGGTTTTAAAAGAAGACATCGACCAGATATTTAGAAAGGATGAAAGGTATACGAATCAAGGATCGGGTTGGGTTTTAAAAAAGATAATGGCGTTGTATATCAACATCAACAGGTTTAACCCTGTGAGAGGTAGTTCTTATATTGACCTACCAAAATGTATCAAACAGAAAACGGCGATGATTAACATTAAAAACAAAGACGACGAGTGTTTGAGATGGTGTTGGAGAGCTGCTCTTGGGTTGTATACGGATAAAGTAAAAAATAACATAAAAAACGATCCTAAATATAAAATTCATAAAGAAGAACCTGTTGTATACACCAAAGACGACGGACTCAAATTTAAAGGCGTAGACTTTCCAACACCGATCGACCAGATACCAAAGATAGAAAGACAAAATAATTTAACGATAAACGTATACGGTTATGAGGGGGAAATATATCCGTTATACGTGTCTAAAAACTACAAACCAGAGTCACGACCTATCGATCTGTTTTTGTTTTCTGAGGGCGACAAGCATCACTACTGCTGGATAAATAACTTTTCGAGATTGATTCACAACGTTACAAAAGATAAAAGTAAGAAATATTTTTGTCGAAGGTGCCTGAGTCATTATAGAACGCAAGTAAAATTAGATAGACACATGGCCGATTGTAACGGTATAGATACACATCCGTCAAAGATTGTATTTCCTACCGCTAAGCGAAAATATGTAAATAACGAGTGGATAGTCGACGAAAAAGATGTGCCAATATTAGAATTTAAAAACTACAGGTTTAAACAAAAAGCACCGTTTGTAGTTTACGCCGACTTTGAATCGATATTAGAAAAAAACTCGGACGATAAAAAGAACAACACGCAAAAGACAAACATTCACAAAGCTAGCGGTTACTCGTTGGTAGTAGTTAGATGCGACGGCACCAATGCGTATCAAGAGACTTATAGAGGTAAAGATGCTGTATCAAAGTTTGTAAATAAAATGTTAAAAATACAAAGCGACATAAATTGCATATTTAAAAAACCCCAACCCCTGAAATTTAACGAGCGAGCTAAAGAACATCATGATAAAACAAACACGTGTTGGATTTGCGAGAAACCAATTTATCCCAATTACTCGAGCAACTGTCAGTGCCAGAAACCCAAAAAACCAAAAACAGAAAAACAAATAAAAGAACATCAGTACGAAACAAAAATGGATTTACAGAGTCTAAATGCCTCGAATGCAAAAAGAAAATCAACAAATTTAGAAAGGTGAGAGATCACTGCCACGTCACGGGTAGATATAGAGGTGCCGCGCACGCCTACTGCAATCTAAAATTACAAGTTAAACCAGGTTTTACCCCCATACCAGTCGTCTTTCACAATCTGCAAAATTACGACGCTCACTTGATCATGCAGAGTATTTCAGAGTACGATGACGAAAAGAAAATACAAGTTATCGCTAGAAATTCGGAAAAGTATATTTCGTTTTCGATCGGAAATGTGCGATTTATAGACTCGTTTAATTTTATGGCGTCTTCGTTGGATAGATTATCTAAAGCTTGTCCGAGAGAGTCGTTTAAACTACTCAGAGAACATTTTAATCGTCAAAATATCGACTCGTTGTTACAAAAAGGAGTTTATCCGTATGAATACATGGACTCGTTTGACAGATTTCAAGAGACCAGCCTACCCCCCATCGAACAATTTTACAGCAGCCTAAAAGACGAAAATATATCGCGAGAGGACTACGACAGAGCTAAACTGACGTGGAACGAGTTTAAAGTTAAAAACATGGGGGAATATCACGATTTGTACGTCACTACCGACACGTTATTACTGGCATGCGTATTTGAAAACTTTAGGAAAACGTGTATTACAAACTACGCGCTAGATCCGGCTAATTACTATACAGCACCAGGATTGTCTTGGGATGCCTTGTTAAAACACTCAGAAGTTAAACTCGAACTATTGGAAGACGTAGACAAACATTTATTTTTTGAAAAGGCAAAAAGAGGTGGTATCTCGAGCGTGGGTGGTATGAGATACCACAAAGCCAACAACAAATACCTACCAGACCATAATCCAAACGAGCCGTCGAGTTACATCACCTACCTCGATGCAAACAATCTGTACGGCTGGGCCATGAGTCAATACCTGCCGTACAAAGACTTTAAATGGGCGTCTACAAAAACGTTTACCGAGTCCAAGATATTATCTCTCAGGAAAACGTCAAACACCGGTTACTGCTTCGAAGTAGACCTCGATTACCCGGACAATCTCCACGACCTGCACAATGATTATCCCCTAGCGCCAGAAAATATCGTCATACCAAAAGAATGGATGTCTGATTATCAAAACGAGTTATTGGATACCGAACCTAGTAGCAACGTGCAAAAATTGACGTGTACCCTTAATCTTAAACAAAAATATGTTTTGCACTACGTCACGTTGCAGTTGTATCTCAAACTCGGCTTGAAACTTAAAAAGGTACATCGAGTGCTGCAATTTAAACAAGCGCCTTGGATGGCATCTTACATAGACAAAAACACGCAACTCCGAACAAAAGCGACCTCTGATTTTGAGAAAGACTTTTTTTAAACTCATGAATAACAGCGTGTTTGGTAAGACGATGGAAAACGTCAGAAACAGGATTGACGGTTACCTGCTCAGAGACAATAACGATGACGATCGAGATAAATACCAAAAAATTATACAGAAACCGAGCTACAAAACGACGACGTCATTTTCAGAATGCAAATTGTCATTTGTCGAAATGTACAAGACTAAAACCGTGTTAAACAAACCGATCTATTGCGGAGTGAGTATCTTGGATCTCTCAAAGACGCTGATGTACGATTTTTATTACAACCATTTGAAAGACAAGTACAAAGATAAAATCAGTTTGATGTACACAGATACAGACAGTTTGGTACTCGTAGTGCACACTGACGACGTATACAAAGATATGCAGCAAAACGGGCAACACTACGACCTTTCGAATTATCCGACGGATCATCCTTTGTACGATCCAACCAATAAGAAAGTGATCGGTAAATTTAAAGACGAGTTTGGAGGTAAAATAATCAAAGAAGTTGTTTGCATAAGACCTAAAATGTACTCCATTTTAACCGCTGACATCAACCTGAAAAAAGCCAAGGGTGTCACAAAATCGGTCACCTCTAAGAAATTAAAACACCGACACTATTACAACTGCATCTTAAACAAGAAATCTCATTATGAAACCATGACTCACATTAGGTCGGAAAATCACATCCTTTACACCGTATCTCAAAATAAACTATCGTTGAGCCCGTTGGACACAAAGAGGTACATTTTACCGGACGGTATAAACACGCTGGCTTTTGGTCACTACGGCGGTAATTGCGTGTCCTCGGGTACGACTTGAAGCTCTTGTCTCACAAAACTCCTTTTTGGGCCGTTTTGAAGGTAATAAAGAGTAGGACCCGTCGTGACTTTTTTACCGTTAATCATTTTAAATTGACTCGTTCTTTTTTCCACGTTGAAGATGTCTACGCTCCAAATGGGATCCGTGGCTCTTCTCGAAGTTCCACCCTCTTGCTCGCCCGGGTAATATAAATATCTAACCATGGCGTCTTGCGGTAATTGTTGCTCTTTTGTTTTAACGGGGTTAGCCGGCGATTGCCGGACCTGTTCTAGTTTAACCGCCTCTGACGGTGCTTTAGCTATTAATCTCGTCGTTTCGTCATTTATTGCCTTGATCACGCTGGGTAATCGCTCGACCCATTGTGTGTTTCTACTCTCGGGATTTAACATTTCTTGAGCGTACTGATGACCAAACAGTCTCTCGGCTAGCGTTCGATTAAATCTTTCTACGATACCCTGCGATCGGTGGTTTCCGGGTTCGCCGACGATAATCTCGACGTTTTTTGAGGTCATCCATTTTTTAAATGCGCCCTTAAATTCGGTACCGGCGTCTACTCTCAACGTTTTAGGGTAACTCAAAGGAGATCTCGCGTAAATCTTGACGATAGCATCTTGGGTGGAATCCGCCGTTTTAGAAACCAAAGGTTCT